TACGATGATGTGAGGTGTTGGAAACTTTTTGTAGTACTTAGAAGGAAGTTTGAAACTACCAAACTAACCATGAACTCGGGATCACCCGTATTTTGGTCCAAAGGTGCTCCAACCAACACATCTGCGTAACCAAACGACGCAGTGCAGATGAGAAGACCAAGGGTAGCGAATGCAGAAGGCATAATATTCCCTGATAAGAAATCCTTATTGGAATTCATATGCAGTCGGATAGAAATCATATCGATACATAACCTCGACAAAGGCTGTAAAAAGCAGAAATCTGACGATCACCGATACGAAAATAAAGGGATCCAATCTACTACTGCTATGAGCTAATCTACTTATCTCTGCTTCCTATACCTACTACCTACCAGGCTTTCACACTTTCTGTCCGCGCCACGCACTCAGCAACATTGCTATGTCTACATGAATTTTGCTACTCAGCAACTAGAGAAGCGTTGGGACTATATTTTGTATTCCTGAAAAAGTTGTGAGAGCATTAAAGACTGTTTTCGCCTCAAAAAGCTCCGCATCATGTCAAACGATGCTTGTACCATATGACTCTGTCCTAAAACGAATGCATCCATTATGCCTATAGGACAGCCTATTTCTAGTTAGTTTCACACTTGGGCGTAGAAACCATGTATCAGTTTTAGGGACTATTTTCGGCGGGACTGGGTTTCAAGACGCTTTGGTGTGTTCATCTTCCGGTCAGAACCGTAGAGGCCTTTTGAAATGCACGTGGACTACACAATATTTAGCTAAGACCTGAAGCTTTCATGACCAGCCCTTACACAACTCAATCTTTCATTCTTCCAGTCCAAGTGTGGTCCTGTTTATAGAATCCCCGAAAAGGGTCGAGAGTTCAGTTGACCCGAAAGAGCATCTCTGGAACCCGATCCCTGGGATATGTGCGTGTTAGTGCGCCATTTGTCATTGCCCTGCGCCTCTCTAACATTTGACATGGGTATCTTGGTTTCGCAAACAACGTTTGAATCCCTGAATGCCGTGAGAAAATCAAATTCAACGTAAAAAAAGGACACGTAAGCAGATGTTTCAAAAGTGAGAGACACTCCAAGACGAAAGAGAATGCATACACTGCTGTGTGATTTATATGTTTCCACAGAGGCTCTGCAACTGGTATTCGAAGATGGGTATGCATGGTGTGCGTCACGAGCAACGACACTTTTTTGGCACGGTAAGACCCCTGAAGTTATTTTTGGCACCTTCAAGAGGGAATGTTTGAAGTGCAGACCACTTCAAAAGAGTAATACTTGGGTTAGTATGAAAACGTTCTCAAAAAATAGGAAGGCAACTTCCTTTTTCGAACTGGTTAATTTATAGCAATAAAAGAAACATCGGAGAGCCCCAGCACTAGCTCGTCAGCTATCAAGCCCTTTCCTCTTGGCCTAACCCCCTGAATCGCAGGTCTTTTTGGTAAAAAAAGAATCGTCGTGCAAGGCAGTTGGCCATGGTCCTAGGGAACCCTACAGTATGACATTCGACCAATTCAGCTGTACTCGCAAAGGAAGAGGATCCGAAGAAAAGAAGAATAAACACGAGAGGTGGATTATATTTCCCATGATGAGATGCATTTCGTATTCTGGAATATCGTCAAGTTATGTTGGGAATTTCGCGAACAGTAATGGGAAATAAATGGGCAACAATATCGCATCGTGCTATGAAATCTTTATGTGATGGGGCGACGAGAAAGTTTTGTCGTGGTGATTGGTGTCGTGGAACTTGTATCATACCATAGAAATCTCTACATATGTACAAGGCTCTTGCAGCAAGCCCGGTGGATAGGACTTCCTTTTCTGCCGTGTATGACAAATTGCGCTTCCACCCACTAATTGTCAGTACTGGTTACTTAACAAAAGTAGAAGGCCCTCGAGCGTCTATCGACTATTCTGAACATAAAAATTGTTATACTACGATGGTGATGTTCTAATGCTTTGTGGGGTTTCTAGGCGGAAAGGACTTCCAGGTCGTTAATTTGCACCAAATTCAACTGAAAAGAAAAAAAACTGACTACTTGTACACTGGCTGGCCATCGAATTCATGTATAGGCTAGATTTTTCTTCAAACCGTCTTAGTATTCTCGCATCCCAAAAAGGGGATTGTTCTACGTCGAAGGCTTTATCTTTTATTCTTCGTATATGAACTCACGCATATCATTTTCTATTATTACTCAGCAATGGATGAATAATTACAAAATATCGAGCACGACAAAAAATGAATATAGAAGGCTCTGCGCAATTTACTACATCAAGAAAAAAGTACGGGAAAAGAAAAGTCAAGAGAGCAAGCGTAGTAAGTGAAAGAGAACATGGAATAAAAGAGGAGCACGCAAGCCAAAAACATAGACAAGAATCTACAATAACTTGTAGAGAACGAGATCAAAAGTTATCGTGAAGCAAAGATTCTGAATGG